TATGTTAATTTGTTGTTGGTGAAATTATAACGCATAAGCTTATTAAGAGTTTGATATTTTAATAAACGNATCATCATGNCTAACCTTGCGGATTCATTANGAGGAGAAATGTGTCTTAATTTTAATTAATATTAATTATGTGTTCATTTAGATAGTTTAATCGACATGAACTAACATAAATCAATGGGTTTAATCAAAATTAAACAAACTACACAAAATTAACTGAAAAGATCCACTAAAAACAGTATCGAATTAACATTTCTGTTTTATTCTACAACTTTATTTATGAACTGAACTTTGCCATAACCAAACCAAACCATAGTTTTATTCGCTTAGTTTCAGTTAGTATAAGTTAAATATTTTTGACCCAAAAAAAATTAAAGAACCGACAAATCGAATCAAACTAACCATAACTAACACAATATATCTAAACTTCAGATAGTTTTTTGTATTTGAATTTAGGCTTTGATGCTAGGTAACTAGGGTTTAAGAGCTATGTATTNTTTTTAATATTTAACGTGCATTTGTGAGGATTTGATTAACATATTACGGTTTAGTACTCTTTAATTCGTTAGCAATATAAATTGTATTCAATATTTTACATACAATTATGAAGATTTGAGTTTAGTACTCATTAATTTACTAAAATATAAAACAGAAACCAAATTTTCATTTCGAAGCAAAAACTATATCAAGGTTTTACATTTTATTATTCATGCGAAAGGCTCATGTCTTATTCATAATTCGATTACATTATATCAACATGTACTAATTTTGACAAAGAATTAGTATAGCGGTATCAAGAAATATCGGACTTCGTTTTCTAATTATCAAATTATGTGTTTATGTATTATATATCTAATTAAAAAAAATTATTATACCAATGATATTTTTTTTAGATTGTTGATATTAATTATGAATTTACAGATTTTCCATGATAGTTAGAGTATGTGTTTCTAATTGAACCCAATAAACCTCTTTATGAGGATCTTCCTAACGATATTACTTATATAAGGTTCAATGCATAAATAGAAAATCATTATGGCTTTCTCACTAGAATCGACACGTCTCTCATCCTTTAAAACGATGTCCAAAGCTCTGCAACTATTCCCACACGACATTTCAAAATTTTATGCAAGACATCTACGACCATATACATATTAGAGTTTAGTACTCCTTAATTTGTTAAAAATATAAATTGTTTTCAATAGTTTACATGCATTAATGAAGATTTAACCTCACATATTAGAGTTTCGTATCCATTAATTTG